TTCTTTTTTTTTTTTTTGTATTAGTAAACACCTTGCGGTGGGGACAGCGAGCTCCATAAAGCGGCCGCTATAGTTCGATCTCCTGTTCCATAGCGCAGGGATGTGGATTTCTCTCTCCTTTCTCCGAATATTCACATAGAAATGTCTGGAAATACCCTATTCAGCCTTATTCAGATTTGCACGCCATTTGCCGGACGTCGCCCCAACCTTCTTCCGTAGTCTCAAATATGGCGACCCACGTTTGACGTGACGAGCAGAACGCTGCCATGTCAAAGTGATGCCGCACCACTGCCATGTCTCGGTGCGCAATCGACAGAGGAATGAGAAGCCTACTAAAGTAAATATATGGCGTGCGTTCGTGCTTTTTTTTTTTAACCTAAACTTCTTACAGCGAACCTTGGAATAATTGTAGCGCTTGACTGGGTCTATCCAAGTCGTAAAATGCCAGGGCCCGCACCGCCCGCTTCTTCTGCGGGCTTTGTCGAATTCTCTCGATATATGAAGCTCGTGATTACTGAAGTGATGGCTGGTTAAGGATGCTTCCCAGATTTGTGTCGGTTGTGTCCACGGACACCAAAACGACGGCAGCAATAAAGACACCGGGACAACTGCCGCTCGTGATTCCCTCACGAGGTTACTTCTCGCGCTTGTCACGTTGCGTGCGGCAAAAAGTTTTCCCGGTGACTAGATTCTTGGTGTCCTTTCGGTCACTCTGAACAAAACCAATGCAATTTTCAGAATCAGGCTCGCTAATATAATTTATTTTTGAGTACCTAACGCCTCCACCACATCCCAGAAGACCGACCTCGTATAAACAAGCCCCGAGGACGCCATGCAGGCAGAGTTATGACGGTGGAGGAGCCTCGAAGCTGGCGTGTAGGCACGATAGCTCGCGCGTCCACCGAGAGATGGCGCTAATAATGAATAATGTCCAGAGCCGTATAGGTAGAGAGTTTGGCCATTCATTAGGAAGTATAGGAGACAAAGGAGGAGGCGCCATTGGCCGAAAGCGGGCTGGACGTGTTCCAGGGCGTCTTCACAAATTCGTATGTGGGCAACCAGAAGCCGGAAATATTTCCCTGGCGGCGGTCGCGAGAAACAAACTCAATAAGTGCGTCCAAGTAACTCTCGGTGACTGAAATTATGGTGCACGTGATGTTTCAATCATGGTCATTTAAAATCACGGTGGAAGAGTGCGACTTGCGGAACGATCGACATAATCCGTACGCCAAGCGCCGAGGGCCGGGACACTGCCATCCGAGCGGTGACCGAGCAAAACAAATTTGAATGAATGAATGAGCGACCACACTCGTTTCTTATATCTTTCTGCGTGATCATGATCGAAACATCATCTGCACCCTATTTTCAACCAGAAATGGTTAGTATATTTAACTGTTACGCGCTTATTAAAACGTTTAAAACAGTTCTTCGCCACCACAACTAGGGGATTCTTTTCGGCCTCTGGTTGGCCAAGAGAACATGTCAGGTCCTCTTCCTGCGTCTGGTGCACGCCCTGGCTCTGCCCGCGCCTCCCATTGTCCAAACTTTCTCTATACGCGGCTCTGATAATGTCTATTGTCCGGGTGGAGGGGGGGGGGGGGGGTGAGGGATCATTTCCCTTTCCCCAACCCTTTTTTTTACGACGCCACTGCTGTGGTTTTTTGGCTTCGCTCGCTCCTCAAGTGAAGCGAACTACGAGATGCATTTAGGTTCTAAAATCGCCTATTAATTTAGTTTAAAAAAATTACATGCAACATAAAGCAGACACTACGTCACTTCACTACAGAGTCACTGTTCAGTTCTATAAATGTTTAAAGAAGTCGACGCCACAATCGCATGGTCGCTGCGAGGACTTTTCTGGGAGTCTGGGTTATTGTCGACTCAACAACCGGGCGCCTCGAAGACACTGTCACGGACATAACCTTCATTGTCCGAGGCCGCCTAAAATGGCTTGGAGCAATGTCAGGAGAATTGGGAGCGTGAGGAGTTACTTTGAAGTTGATCTTGCGAAGAAAGCATTTATCAAGTGACGCCCGATTATACGGAGCACTGTCGTAACAACACAACACAACTGCGGCTTGTTTTTTTTTCTTTTTGTTTAATTTGTGCAGTAAAAACAATTTATTTCTCCATAACGTCTCAGTATGACGCAGTCGTCTCTTTCGTGCCTTTCGGGACGCAGCAATTGAGGATGACGCCTTCACTCTTCCAGAACATGACTATCCGTCTCCTCCGCACACTGGTAGGAGCGTTAAACTTCGCTGGCCTGGAGTCGGGGCGCTCCCACTGTTGCAACTGGCGTTCGATTTCGGGATGTAAAAACGACACCCATCTCTCGTCGGAGGGGACCAGTGGCGGATCCAGAGGGTGTGGGAGGGGAGGGGGGCGGGGTCTGGGGGTCCTGAGCCCTCCCTCGAATTCCGCATAAGTAAAATTCTAAGGCGGGAGAAAAAAAAAAAGGAGGGGGGGGGGGGGTGGCTCTCTAATATCTGATTCGCCGACTCTCCTCTCGGGAAATACCTGCATCTGCCGCCAGAAGAGGACCTTTCCTCAGATTAAACCCTCATTCATGTCGTTATCGAACGACACATTTTTCGGGTCGTACGCCTGTGCAGAAAAAACAAATAATATTTTCACACTGCTCTCCGAAGGTGAACGTCGCCATTTTTAGTGTCTGTAACACTTATGAGCCCAGGGGCACGAAAATTGTTTCGAGTCTTTATAACAATATTTTTGTGACTTTCACTAACTTCCAGTACGATTCCAGATAGCTTAAGACGCTGACCATGTCCCTAGCAGCTTACGGTCTAGAGAAGAAAAAAAAGGGGGACCTTACAACTTGAATGGCCCTTCTATAAGAAACGACTCAATCCGGAACACAGTAAGAAACGATCCATTTTCCGAACACTTCCGGCGTCACTGGATGTGTTTACATGTTTACGAAGAAAGCATTGTCTTTTTACATCGACATCTTTGTTTTTGTTTGGCCTGCCGCGTCTTTATAGTCGGGTATTCGCCTGCAATTAACATAAAACTGCCGAGTTAAATCTGGTTCCTTTCGTTATTTAAACAGCCAGCCTGTGTGCACGGAATTCAAGCTGCGAGAATATCGCATATGATTTACCTTGAACTTAATGACTTCGATTCAATATAGAATATTTCTTGGTCTTATTTTTCGTACTATTTTTTTTCTCTTACTACTCTACGATTGCCTAACGAAAATATATCAGCTCGAATAATTTCGATAACGATTTTGTTTGAAACTCTAATATTGCTGACATAATTGCTTGATACGGACCGACCCAGGACCGCCATTCAAAAAACACACCTCGGAAAATGCGTGGAAATTATATTTTGCACGATGTATTTTTCACGACTATACCGAATAGGTAATCGCGAAAATGCTCCCACGGCACCTTCAGCAGATTTGTAATTGCTTGAGGAGCGTGTACTTTTTTTATTTTATTTATTTTTTTTTATTCAAGGGATTAGGAAGGCGTACGTATCGTATATCAGTAAATTTCAGGGTCTATACCACAATTGGTCCACGGAAGTGAGACCTTTAAGGAGGATGAAAACTTTTGTCCTATTACTATCGAGGCATCCCGCCTTATGGCTGTCCCGTTGGGGGAGGGGGGACTTTTAAGGTACGTCCTACTCCCTGCAGGTCTCAAAAAAAAGCAAAAACAATAAATTCCCCCCGAAGTTTGGCCATGTTTGCGTTTGCTCACCTGTGAACACCCTGTATAGAGCTGTAACATGACGCTCCTGCCACCCGTGCAAGAAAGACACGGGCGAACAATCTTTTACTACACAATTTATTTACATTTTTTAAATTAAAAATTTATGCTTTGAATGACACTCTTAATGACTTGTGTAAGGTGCTTTTCCATGAAATACAATTATGCTTCCTCCTAAAATAGATGCGTCCCACGTGGCAAAGACGAAATTTTTATTTTTTTCGAAATGTCTAGCTCGGAAACTAACGCTTAAAAAAAGTTATCGGGATGAAGGCCTTCATCGATCAATCCGGAGGTTAATCGATCATTTTCTTAGCCCTACATCTTACACCGCCGACGGACAATGCCGCCAAAACGGAACTTCCACGTTTCTAGATTGGATACTCCGTCGAATTTTCACAGCTAATTAAAATGCATGCATCGTCGATAGTAACACTCGTTATTGTAATGGCGGTTAGGTGGGCTGCCGTGTCTGGGGAAATAAATAAGTAAAACATGGCCTCAAGCATGCAAGAAGCAAAAGCACAATTGCATCAGCCCGAATGCGCTGCGTACTCGAGCTTCTGTTGTAAACATATTTACATTTCCAATACGAATTCTAAGGATATTACCCGGAGCACATAGTATTTAAAATAAGCATTAGAAATCTAATCAAATGTAGAAGAGAAGCTTGACAACACGTAGATCTTCACAGTTCGCAACAGAGGCGGGCCTCAACATTTCATCTTTCTACTAGTCCGTCTCGATAATTCTTGTTTCCTCAAAATGAATACAAAGTTAATAAGTATGCGGGGCAACACGAATAAATCGCGAAAAATTGAGTACATAGGCGACCTGATTAGAAGAAGCAGTAATTTAGAATCGTGTTCTATTTTTTTTGCCTAATGGTGTAGATTAGGATGATGGAATAAAGCGTTACGTCGGGTTGCTATATCCACATCAACTACGCGGTCGCAGTTACAATGTAATCTCAGGCCGAGCAATTGCTTTTTTTTATATATATATAATAAGACAGCTAGCACGAACCTGTCTCTCGTGAAACCAGCCTGTCCGCTTTAAGTGGCGGATGCCCTTTGCGGTCGGGGGAAAAGACACTCATCGAAAACTGCGGCGCCTCCGATCGCTCTTCCGCATCCTTTTGATCGCATCCGCCGAGGCGCGTCACGTGCTGCGCTGACGTCATCTCCGACGGCGGCCTCCGATTGGCGGAGCTCCCGAGCGCTGTCCGTCCGCGCGCCGTTAAAAGCGCGAAGCCGGAGTCGACCTCATGGCAAGATTGGCCTCCGACGGAACTGGACCCCACTTGTGCGAGCCATCGACGAACGCTGAACGAGTGAGTCTGACACGCGCTGCATTTCTTCGTGTCGGGTCACATTTGGGGCGGCGATGATAGAGGTTCCCGGACTATGTATAGTCACTGGCAGGGTGAGAACGGCAGGTAGCCTCTTTCGGATGCCCGACCTTCAGCACGCGCTCGTTGCATTTTGCCGCGCTTTGGGCTGCGCCTGCCCACTATGAAAGCTCGAGACGCTGAGGAGTTATCGAGGCAGTAGCTCGAGATGGAGATGAAACAACTGAAGGACCTTCTTGTCGTTCTAGCCCTCCGAGTTATTTTGATTTATGATCCACTTGCACTTCAAGCGAAACTAAGTATAATTGTCAACTAAAACGCAAATCAAAAAACGAAAAACAATTAATGCGCCTAATATGTACATATTATTTTATTGTTCCGAACATTTTCGTAAGTTTTTTTTTTTATATAAACATACATTGATAACCTCAACTGTTTTGTTTTAGTATCCGGATACTATGATGACTTTTTTTATTATCAATACGCCCGTGTTAAATGCAACATTCAATTGAAATCCTTCGTCACACAGTCAGCTTTCTACTTTAGAGCGGGTAAAAAGCGACATCGTGCAAACACGTATATTTAGTGGGGTTGGCAAACTATCTGACAGCGAAGTATATATATTTTAAAAATCATCTTGCAACTGCGCAAACGCCGGCTCTTCCAAACCTACGCACGCTGTCACGTTCAACGGCACTGCAGCTGAGATAGCAGCTGTAACAAAAGCGGTCTCCCATAGGACGTAAAGAAGGTTCTGTAGTATACCGTGATATACTACTGGGTGATTTCATCTAAACTGAGGCACAAATCTGAATCGATTTTTTTTATTTTTGTAAAAAAAAATGCTCTCGGACAATTTCTATAATAAAAAAAGACGCAAACGGCGAGTTCGTCGGATTTTTGTTCTCAAGTTATGGACCCTTGAAGGGGCCAAGGTGGAAACACGTTTTTCCAGCTTATCGGGGGTGTCCATATTTCACTCCATCCCTTTTCCATTTTTTTTACGCTACATCAATATAACTTTTAGGGAACACTCTCTAGATATGCTCTTTTATGATAATTAAGCGTCTAGGTCATAAGGTTCTTAATGGTTTCTGTTTTAAATGTCAAACCGCCTCTCTGCAATGATATTTGACGAAGTTCAGCAAGATGTGCTGTGTGACCTAATGAACATATTATTATGATCTTTACATCATCGTAAAGCTCCAATTTTGTTCTTTCTATCGAGTATAATTTGTACATTTTGCGCTAAATATATGATGCGCAACATGGGCCTGAAAAATGAATATGTAAAAAAAAATAGCCAAGTTTGCAGTCGATTTTCTTAAGAAAAACACCTTTTTTCTTTTATTTTTTATTTACAGTTAGGTAATATAGTAGTCTATCAGGAACTACCAACATAAATTTTAATATGTTGTTTTTATGGCCGCTATTAAGACGCGAATCTCGTGCTATGAGCGTTTTGGAAGGGGACTTCGCACAGGCGCTCTGCTGGGCAGAATTTTGGCCTATATAAAGTTTTTCTATTTATCGTTAGCAGTTATCTCAATATCCAACCATAAACATTAATGGAATTCGGAGTAGTGCATTTAAAAAAAGTTTAGAAGTCCGTATCCACAAGTGCGGCACCCCCCAGCGCTTACTTCCTCCCAATTCGGTGGAATGCAGATCGTTAGAGAATCCCTCTGGAGCCTTTTGCTTTCGGCTTTGAGTTTGAAATACCGAACTTGATATGTAATTGTCATATTTTCTTATGCCAAACAGATATTTAGTGCATATACACATGTACGAGTTAGTATCTGACGGTTAGAAAGTACGGTTTATTTTGTGCACATACGGACTCTTTCGTAAAATAACGAGCATTTCGTAGCGTGTAAGGCTTCAAATGTGTCAGTCATGTGTTTAGGTTTCATTTCTATGTTCAGTGATTCATGCCGGGTTACTTAGACTTTTCCCTCTTAGCTTAAGTTTGTCCGGGAGCCTATATGTTCCGTATCTTCTCCGTCCATACCTAGGGCGAAGCTCACACACCTTGCAAATCACCCCAGTGCCAAGTAAATAAATATTGTTGGGATAAATATTCTTGGTTCACTGGCTTTTACGCTCAGATATTGAGGCAAGTACTAACATTAAATAGAAAACCTTACATCGGTCAAACTTTTGCTCAGCTGAGCGTCTATGCGAACTCCCGTTCAAAAGTCTCATAGCACGAGATTCGAGTACTAATAGCGGCCATACAAACAATGTATTACCATTTCTGTTAATAGTTCATGACAGACTACTATATTACCTAACTGCGAATAAAAAATGAAAGAAATAAAAGTCATTTTTCTTTTTAGAAAATCGACTCAAACTTGCAAGGTTTTCTAAATATTCGTTTTTCAGGCAAATGTTTCGTGTTATATGTTTAGCGCAAAATATTCAAATAATACTCAAAAGAAAGAGCTTAATTGGAGCTTTACGGTGATGTAAAGAAAATAAAAAGATATTGATTAGGTCACGCACCACAGCTTGCTGAACTTCGTAAAATATTATTGCAGAGAGGCGGCTTGACAATCAAAAAACAAACATTAAAGATATTATGACATAGACTCTTCATTAGCATAACTCGCCGTTTGCATCCTTTTTTATTCAAGGAATTTACAGGTAGCCACTAAATATTCCAGAGGAGTTTATTTTTGAGTTACTGTATTTTTGTGAGTCACTTGTATTACTGAGCGACAAGTGAACACAACACAAAATGTGAGCTTTTACTTTATAAAGTACAGCAATAAGTAGCCAGAGAAAAACAATTAGCCGAATAAAAGGTAGTCTTTTTAGAAAATCGACCTCCGATTCGCAAAATTTTTGAAATAGGACTTGCTTTACGAAGAAATACTACCCTTTCTATTTTACACAAAATATCAAATTTGCTATCATTAGAAGGATTATACTGTGAGCTTTCTGAAAATACTAAATATGTTAAGACGCCTCATAAAAGGTCATACGGAAGAGCTACTAAACTTTGACAAATATCGTCCAAAAACGTGATATTGGCAAAATACTCTCTCAAATATACTTCATATAAATAATTGCGGTAAAATTATTTATCAGAAATTAAGCGTGTTCACAGGTATCTATTAAAAAAGTAAGAGGCGCAAATTTTGAATTAGTGTATTTTTGCGAGTAGGTTGATTTACTGACAAAACAGTCAAACAAAATCAAACTTCAAGCTTTTGTAGCTCCCATACAAACCACATATTACATTTTCTATTTATAATACTTTATAAAGCACTGCAATAGCTAGCTATATATAAAAAGGAGCCAAATGAAAGGTGTCTTTTTTTTTCAGAAAATCGACCTCCAATTTGCGAACCTTTTGAAATAGTTTTTGCTCTACGAGTGTACAGTGGCCTTTCTCTTTTACACACAACATTAAATTTGTTATCAATAGAAAGAGTATACCTTCAGCTTTCCGAAAATGCTAAATATGTTACGATGTCTTAAATAGGTCGCACGGAAGAGCTGGTCAAACTTTGGCACATTTTATCAAAGGGACGCACTTTGACAATATTTAAAACAAAAGTGAAGATAAATAATTACAATAAAATTATTCACCATTGGTAATCCCTATTCTGAGTGTGGCCGAAAAAAGTTACATTGCACTACCGACAAAAGGCAAAAAGTAGAAAGGAGTGAAACATGACACCTCCGACAAGCCAGAAAAAGGTCGGTTTGCGGCTCGGCTGCTTAAAATGTCCAGAACTCGAGAACAAAAAAAAAAAAATTGTCCGAACTTGCGGTTTGCCAACCCTGTCACAAAAGAGTTTTTCCGAAGACATATATTTTTTTTCGTCAAAATAAAAAATTCGACCCCCAATCCGTGCTGAGTTGATATGAAACCACCCTACTATATAAGCCGCGTCTGCACGACTGCCACCTTTCTAAAGACACACTTTGCAAAAATATTTGTTTATCTTTTTCGGATTTTAGTTAGTAAAAAGGCGTCGCTACTGTGCGTTCTCTTTTTCTTTATTGCGAGATGTATATATGTATATATATATATATATCATAGCTCAACGACAGTACCGCTAGAACGTGTTGTTTTAAGGCGCACGGGGCTTGGCCCTGCCCTCCCCTTATGGGCAACGGTTTCTGAGATGAGCACTGGGTTTCGCTGGCGCAGGTGTAAGAGCGGAGGGAGAAAAGGATTACATTCACAAAGAGGAAATTTGAAGATTGCTGGAGGAAATCTAGAGAAGCGTGATAATACAGAAAATTGGTGGGGTAGATGATTTAACGAGAGACATGTTTATAGCAAAATAGCGAGCGGGTGCAAATCTTTTTAGCCTAGGTGGCGCAAGCTACCGCCCGACACATAGGGATACAAAGCCAGCACCAAACATTCATTAATACTTCCTATGATAGAAGACATGCGCTTGTTGGAAGTGTTCTGGTCGTCTTCACATTTTTTTATCAACAAAAAAAAAGAAAGCGACGTGGTTGATGATAATGCATTTCATGTAAAGGTGCAAGCAGGCTAGACAATAACGCTAATAAACCCTGGAGAAGAACCAAGGACCAACACAAACCTTAAAGCACAACTAGGTAAGTGGTGCGCGCCCGAAAAAATTTGGCTGTTCCTGGTATCGAACCAGGGACCTCTCCATTTCATCCTACCAACTGAGCTAACTGCTGGTTAGCTCAGTTTGTAGATCTCTCCACTGGAGATGGAGAGCTCCTCCGTTCGATACCCGGACCAGGCGGATTTTTTCGGGCGCACGCCAGTCACCTAGCTGTGTTTGGAGGTTTGTATTTCTCCTTTGTCCCATTTGTTCTTCTTCTCCAGGGATAAATCTCGTTGTGCTGAAGGGAACATCGCTAAACAAATTCGGCGGCCTACTTAGGCTTGGCGTGTTCGTTGTGGCAATGAAACATAGGAAGAGAGAAAGAGAAAAAAAACGTTTGGCTAGGGGCAGAGAAACAAGGTGGGCTCGTTTTTA